GCTTATACCTAATACATGCTTGAATGGGGTAGGAAGAAGTCAGACTTATCCAGTCCTACCCCATTACATCATCTTACCATCATTGGTTTGCAAGCAGTATTACTACATAAATAATTATCTTCTACATCACACAAATAATATACTAAAGAATTATAACAAAGTGTTAACATTCATACACCACACCCATAATGTTCCATCTAATTAATCATTAAGCCTGTTCTTGCATATATCTTGATTGACACATACCTTTATATTTATGTTTAAACTCATCAATTCTATTACTATTTTTTATGTCCACACTTAAATTATTCCATAGTTTTACCCCACTTATGGAAATACAGAATCTTTTTTTGGTTGTACGTATAGCATGAATTTTTAAATTTAACTGACCCCTTAAATTGTATCCCCCTTCCCTTTCATTAAACAGTTTTTGAATTCCACCAGGTAATAAATTGTTCCTGGCTTTTTACATAAACACAGCAGTCTTATATCCCCACTAAATTGAAAAATTTTAACAATTTAGACTGTATGAAAGCTCCATTGATGTGATCCCTATACCTCAAATTTGAACGGGACATACGGAAATTCTGCTATTCTTTATTGAAAAAAATTCCTTCAACATCGGATTCTAACAGCAAAAGGGCCTACAACACACACCAGCCGACAAATATTAACGGATTGTAACGGGTGCAGGACTCTTTTGAGCAGCTCTCATTTCATTGACTGATTAACCAGCTAACTCCTCAGCAGAACTAGCAGTGTGCTGAATACTGGGAACAGTGCGGTCAGGGTGGGGCTGAGCTTGTATGTTTGCCCTTTCAGTGTTTCCTGGTTGGTCTGGTCAGAGGTGGGGGGGTCCTTTGGCACAGGCACGGTGTTGGGTGAAAGGGTAGTGCGGCTGGCACACAAGTTGTAGAGGTTTCCAGAAAACTGCGTCTTCCTGGACTCTTGTCTTAGAGATTCCCAGACATCTGCTGCCTCTCCAGGGCAGCCAGCCACAGCTGCATTGGCACAAGCATGGAATGCATTCCAGGACCTTGAAGGAATCAGGGCAATGAAACAATACAGTTTTAAATGAATGTTATAATCAGTAAATTTTTAGATCAGTCATTTTTTAGCCATCTTTTGAGTTTAAAGACTGTATCCACTACATACAAGTAGTGACACGGTGTACCTCAAGGTCAGCATTAGGGCCACTCATTTTTACTCTGTGTTTTTACTATTTGAGATAAATAGTAGCAAAATGGACAAGGTGTGACTCGAGGATTTCTAGTTCACATGCACCTGCAGATCGCATTGATGTCCTGTGTGCTCGGGTCTTTTTGTGTCTCCTCCAAACTGTCCCCAAGTGTGACTAAACACTGAGCAAAACTTTTGTAGATGGAACCACAAGAAACAGGAATTGCAGCTCCAAAACACACAGGGACCAAGCCTAGTGGAGAGGAAACAACAAGAGAAGAAGATAACTTTGTCAAAACTAGTGCACATGGGGACATTGTAATCATAGAGTGCTGTTTGTGGTGTGCATATTTGTGCATATTGGCGTTCATCTTTTGGAGTGAAACAATGTTATGGAGACATGATCCATCTAGTGCTTAAAAGGACCAAACAAATACATATGCTGTATTCATCTGGAGAGATTATTCACCCTGATAGACAAATCAGCATATGACTACAAACCCAAGTGTTGATCAGCTCACACATGGGTTTTCAGTGAAAGGCTTCTGAAAAGGTTTGACTGAAATATTTAAACACTGACTTTAATGTGCAAAATTAACCTATATTTTTGTTGGCCTTAAAGACATCTCTGCAGTTGTTGGTATATTTGGGTAATCTATCTCAATTCTGATTTAGCTTGTAGAGTTTATTATCTACTGTATATCTGAATGTACATTTTTAATGCCAGTGTCATTTGATAGTTTAAATCCTATTGTATTTGCCTACATTTATTGGTCTATGTATCATAATTGTTAATTCATTGATTGTCCTAGTGCATTTTTGATATTACATATTTTTGTAACAGTAAACATTTTGTGTAAATAAGTGCTTCATTCATCACTTTGTTTTGTCCTATGTTATGTTACTGGTAAAACCAAGCCTCAAACACTGTCAAATATTATAGACATTAACCTAAAATTCACACCCAGTTATGTGATGTTGTATACCAAACTGCATGTACACCCACAAAGGAAAGAGAATCAGTACATGAGGGGACACTGAGCATTTCATTAACATAAGTGGATTTGTAAAACCCTTCTCCCCTCAGTTCCAAAACTAAGCCACATTAACCCCTTTGACAAACCTACTGAAACTCCTCTCATCAACCTGAGTCTAATTTGAAGAAAGGTTGTCTAAATATAGACAGATGGGGAAAACTGTAAACCAGGACCAGTAACAGTGCACACATACTTAGTCTTTTTTGAGATTACCTAAAAATGCCCTCACACACATACAGCACACTCAGACAACAACCGGAGAGTAAAGAAGCATCCTTACTGAGGTAGAGCACGATGGGCAGCAGCATTGTTGTGTTTCTTGGTTGGGACTTCGTTGTTTGGCTCAGCAGTCTTGTGGAGCTCAGTCCCATCTCTGAACCAGAGGCTCTGATGTGAAGCTCCCACTGGCTGAATCCAAAGGGTATAAAGCAGCTGCTTTAAAATATGATATGTCCGGCCATACGTTGGGAATTTATCAAATTGCAAAAGTACAGAAATACACAGAGACACAACTGTGCTGGATTAATAGTGAAAGGGGGCGATGCATCAAAGAGGATGTTGTGTTAGTGTGTGTGGGTGCACTGGGGAGGGGCACAAGGTAAGAGCAGCTAGACAGCAGACCAATGAAAACATCACAGCACACTGGATTATAGCGTTCTCATTTCCGGTCTTTAGCATTTAGAACATTTATTTGAAATACAAATAAATTATAGCAGTATGATGGTGACTGTGTGCTCAACACACTCTGACACCCTCTTTGCCTTGTTCACACACATCAATGTGCTGCAAAAACTTGGTTTTAGTATTAAACAAGGTGTTTTCCCAAATTATAAAAGGGAAAACATTATCTGAGGTGTCAGGATTTATTTATTTGTTTTCATGTGGACAGATGGTGATGTTCCACTGAGCATAAGAGAATCCATCCCACCTGGGAGTCCAAATTAGATGCAAAACACCCTCTGAGAACAGTAGCAGTCCATATGAGACTCATCTACAGCTATGTGGGTCATGAAGAATTACTGAAGAGCACTGTGATGTGTTACGCTAGAGACTGGACAGAGAGAGAATTACGGGCACACTCTGTTTGAAGATGGGTGATTGTAAACCATCTACTGTATCTTATTCCGAACTTTCCGTACTTGCCTGTGTTCCATCCCCATCCTCTCCCTCTCAACCACCAAATCCCCTGCTATATCCCGCAGATGGCTCACACTCTGTGTATTAGTATAAGTCTCAGTTCATTCCTGTAAACTGACACAGGAGGAGCAATGGTAACCCATTGTTAATCTGCATCTTAAAATGACCATACCTGCAGAAGACATGCAGTCATGTCTTTTAGTGTCCACATTATAGAGTGCAGAGCTCCTTGTATCAGATTGTGAGATAGATTTAAATAATCAGAGCATTGATCTAAATGTATTATTGATTGTAGATGTGGATATTTTCTTCCGAGGGCAACAATTTTTTTATGCCTTCCTTAGAAAAATGTTTTTCTACCTGCTTTTTCATTTAAAAAAGACTGAAATCAAGAATAAGAAAACGTGTACAATAAGAAGCCGTTTCATGTTCATATTAATCCATATTATGTATTGACGATATTGTGAATTTTATTTTTATGGTGGTGTTCTTAGTTTATGCATGTGAGAGGATGTGACTTATAGGGTGAGGATGTTCAGAGGGACTTGTACACATAGGCTGTTCCAGATGCACCCTCCTGACTGCCCATCAGTCATGGAGAGGAAATGAATGGGATGACTGAGGAACCATCATCCATAGGACACAGGTCTGGTTATGCTATGTACTGTGTACACAAATGGAGTCAGGCAGCCAGTGTGTAGGAAGGGTTTAAAATACAGGAGTAGAGTAACAGGTTTTGTCCAGCTGTTCATTCTCCTCTGTGAATCTGTGCTATGGGAAGCTAGTGCTAAATGCCTGAAACGAGAATCAAATTCCTGGTCTGCTTCTTTAAAGAACAAGGGTCAAGAACACACTAATACTATGACAGCGAGTCAGAGGACTGACTGAAGAAACTTATTCAGAAGAGTCACCTGATGGAGTCTTTGGATGCCAGACCTGCAGCCGTCCAATGGTTGTCACTTTCATGAAGAGTGAGCTAAAAACAAATTTGACCAGAATATCTCATCATCAACATACCACAAATAACAATAATCCTTGATAACATTTACTATTTTGTTTTTGCAAGGTGCAGCTATAACATTGTTACTGCCTTTTTACTCTGTATGTGCTACTGTGATTTCAAGTACTCACATAATTACTTTCAAAGGATGAGACAATCTGTTGTTTGGCCTTACCCTAAAGAATGTTGTGTTAAACGGCAGCAGCTATAGAAAAGAAAGAGTTGTCTAAGTTTGACTGACAGCGCCAGATTAAGGCATTATGCAATTCTGCTGGGAGTTAAGAAAAAATTAATCCAGATGAGATTAGGATCTTGATCCTCGCTTTCTATCTGTTTATTCATCCGTCTCGTTCTCTGTTTCATGTAACACATTAGATTGTAACACATGCATCACAGTGTGTCTAAAATGACACCACTGTCATGATTCGGTTCCGCTGCTTCCTGTCCGGCTTTTATTTTGACGTTACTTCCTGTTTTTGTTTCACCTTAGTTTCGGTCTTTTTGCGTTCTTCATCACTCACATTGGTTTCACCTGTTTCGTTATTGTTTACACCTCTATTTAGGCAACGTCCTCCCACCAGGATGCTGCCAGATTGTTCTAGACCCCAGCTCTGACTTTCCAGCATTCTCTTCGGTATTGGTATTTTTGTGTTTCTGACCCGGACTGCTTCCTTGCATTATTCTGTTCTGCCTTGCCCTCTTCTTTCGGACTGCTTCAGTGTATCGGCTTAACGGACTTATCTTTGGACAACACATTTTGTATTCCCCAGGATGTATGTGTTTGCTGGCTCTGATCTCGGACTGTTATACCGACCATGAGTTTTGTGTTTCCACCATGTCTTGTATGGTTTTTTGTTTACGTTAGTTCTCTTATTAAAGAGACGGGTTTTGTTCATTACTTCCTCGTCTGGCCATTTAATGAGTTCACCTGACACTTTTCGGCCGCATCACGCGCTGTTTCTGACAGTACAATCTGGCCAAAATTGACTCAGCCAGCGAGAAAGATGAGGTGATGGTGTTGTGGACGAACTTAAACAGTTTCTGCCACCAGTTTTATGATCTTCAGGATTCTGGTGAGCGCATACGGATATGTGCTCGCATGGAGGCGATGATCCGCCTCCGGCCCCATCTGGCACACCTCCCAGTAATCGAGGGCATGCTGCTCCAGGTAAGGGAGCTTAGAGAGGAGGCCTTGTCTGAGACCTATTGGTCGGACGATT